GGCGGGGAGCTAGCGAGGTGCCGGGGGTGGGAGAGCGGCCGCTCTCAGGGGACCTGGCACATCTAAGGATGAGGTAGAGGTGGTGGCGGAGCCTGGCTTTGGGACCCTCAGAGTTGTCGGATACGAGAAGCGTTCAGACCCCATGCGTGGGGAACGGTGGAGAGCGAGCGGGCGCACTCGTTGGGCTCGTAATGGGCCACGCGGCTTGTCTTCTGCTTGACGTGAATCCGGTTACCTGTTCTGCCGCACTGCCAAGGCGGGCGAGTTGCTGCCCATTAAAGACTCCGTATTTGCAGATTAGCGGATGTGGGAGCCTTTTGCCTGGAAGAGAGCGTGCAGAGCCTGGGGCCGAGTCCCTGTCTCGGCTCCGCAGCCTGCCACTTACATCTCAGTGCACTTGTTTCCTACTGAAACATTACAACCAAAGCCTGGAAATCAGTCGTGTGTGAACTCATTGCCATCCCACAAATACGTTATAAAAAAACTTTGCACAAATTCAACTCTGGCAGGGCTGAGAATAACAACCAGCTCCATAATAGGAGATTAGGTAATAATAGGTAGATTCAGGTCTTTCCGTTTGTCTTATGTTGTCTCTTAGAGTGAACCTATCAAGTCTGTGATTTAGTTAGCCTGCTTACTAGCTTGCGCTTCCTTCCGAAGGCAAGGAAGCAGTTTTGCTGATCTGCGGTGTTTTGTTTCTGCCTGGCAAATAGTTTGTAACTCATTGACAAACTGTGAATAAAGTCCTCTCTAGATGCTGCACCAGAGAAGGATAATTGTAATTTGTCACTCAAGCGACAGAGCTTTGCGGTGGGGGGATATAAGTGTTCTGGATTCAAATTCTGCTGGTGATTTGAGCAGACAAGTCTGGACAGACAGATTTGGGGAGAAAAGGCATATTATTTCCTGAAGTGTTTTCCACTATTTCTAAAAATAATTGTAACATTGAGAAAACAAAAGTTAAACAGGCTTTTTGCTTAAACTTGATTACACATCAGTTGTGGTACTGCGCACAACAGAAGTGTTGCATGTACTGGTTGTTAGTTGTGTGTTTGGTTCCTGGTGTAATAAGTTTGCAGCTTGATCCAAGGGTAGAATGAGACACCGTGAGGAGGCTGGAATGAAAAAGGGAGTCAGAAGTGCGTGAGTCTGCTAGGGGGTGGCCCAAGCGTGAGGTGCAAAAGGGATAAGAGCAGTCGAAACAGTCAGGAGTGAGGAAGGCAGAAGGTGGAGGAGCAACCTGTTATGTGTGGTGGTGTGGAGTCAGATAGAATGGAAAAGGTGGTTGTTCCCACCAAGAGACACAGGAAGTTAAGGTTGCAGAGCATGGTACACATTTTGAGGGTGTTGTAGTGAGAAGATGAGTCTTATGTATAAAGCCGTGACATAAACGTGAAGGTGTGACTGAGCTGTAGATGGGTCTTATGGGACTTACTGAGGTGCAGTATGTTGGTCAGCCAAAGTGAAGTAAGGCTGTACGTAGGCACGTTGGATTCAGTGGAATTCAGTAGGCCAATTTGGCAATGCTGCTGAGGAGAGAATGAGCTGAAGAGGAGCTCCAGGATGCAAGAAGAGTTAGATAACTGTAGGAAGGATAAATTTTGGAGTCTTTCCCTGTAGGCCTTTGGCTTCACTCCAGCCTTTGGTCGATAGCATTTGAATGCTGTCCTCTGTAGGCAAGCAGCAGTAACCAGTTCTTGTTGTGACACGTGCCCACATCCTGCTGTGTGGGATGTTTTATCAGTGGGGCCAGGGTAGCCATGAAAATAGGTACTGATCTTCTCTGCCTCCCTGCTTGAAGTAGTATTTTAAGAAGAGAACTGAGGTCAGTAGCAGAAGTTGTGCCTATTGGATGCTTTCCACAGTGATGTCCCTTCTTTGTGGATAAAGAAAATTGCGAAGGTGTGCCACAGCATTTTTGGAGTGTAGCTGCTGGCTTTGTGATGACCAGCCAGTGTTGAATTGCTCTCCCCACAGTCACCTGTAATCTTGGTGAGCCACTGCTTCACTTCTGTGCCTTTTGTTCTCTCCAGTATGGCTTGTGTCAGGGAGCTGCAAGAGCTGGGCTGCTTCTCAAGGAAGCGTGAGCCAGGAGCTATAGGTGGTAACAGCACACGCAGTAAGTGTGCCCTCATCCAACTGGGTTGCAGTCCTGCTGTATCTGAACAGGGTGGGCAGAGCAAGGTGCTGGTAAGAGGATCCATCAACAGTCCCAGACAAGGTGAAATGATGAGTCTCATCCAAAGTCTACCCAGGGAGCCTAGCAGTAGGAGATGGTGCTAGAGACAGGACCAGAGACAACTTACCCACAGTGTAGATCCAAGGTCTATCCAGGAGACAGGACTGAAGACAGGTGAACCTGCAGTGTAGCTCAGACAAGGGCTGTGTGCCTGGTATTTAGCTTAAATGGAGCCCCTGAGCCATGGGCAGTGAGTGAATGCTGGGGGTCCCAGCTGAGGCTGGTCAGGACATTTACGGCTTTTTAGTGGCCTCAGGGCCCAGACAGCTTGAAAGTTCTCCTTCTTCCCTGTGCTTTCCCTCATGAGGTGCTGTGAGTGTCCTCTTGACTCTTCAGTTCCTACCACCTCCAAATTTGTCTCTTGTCACTTCTTGTGTTGACTCTTTCCCCACCTTCATCTCTCATGTCCCTCACAGTTCTCTTCTGCACTGCTCTGGGTAGCTCTGTCCTCTTTTACGGCTGTCAGTACTGTCTGCGTGCAGATGGTTCCTACTGCTTTTTCTCCACCTTGTCTGTTCCATCTTTCTTCTTCTGGCTTTGCAGAATTTCATGCAAAGAGAAATACTGGCAAATCAAGTGGCTCTCTCTTTTTCTACTCCCCAAGCCTTTCTGCCCGTAGCTTTAGTGATCATATTAAACTCAGTCTCCTTGTTAGATTTCCTTCCCTCTTCCTGGTTGCTCATTATCCAGGTTATCTATAAATCATTCCAGGCCTTCTGTTGGTGTTGTACTGAAGTCTACCTGCTCTTCTCCATCACTTCTGCTGAAAGCCTTCATAGAGACTTTGATCATCACTCACCTTGTCTGTTGGCGTTCTGGCTTTCCCCTTCTTGCTGTGCCTGCCCATCCCATTCCAAATGCAGCTGCTTAAAATTTTCCACCTGCTGTTTGGACCAGATTGCTCTCAAATGTACTGTCTGATGACTTACAAACTGCACAGTGTCACTTTCAAATCCTTGCATACCTCTGCTATGATTTCTTTCTGGTCTTTATCTCACTCCTGCCTTTTCTTTTTTTTTTTCCTCCATCTTTTCCTTCTGGCTCTCCGTCATAGAGGGCATGAATCAGTTTTTCTACGTTGTGTATAGTGCAGAGTACAATAAATAAGGGCTTTCTAAGAGGTCAAGATTGACCCTCCTCCACACCCCTTAAAGGTCCTTAGCTATCTTAAGATACCTTAGAGTGGTAAGGACGGCCTTAATGTAAAAGGGAGCTGGGCAGTAGTGCTCTCCAAGCTGTGTAGTGCGGGTTGAGAAGGGACTTTTGTTTTTTCTCGTAATCCCTTCAGAGGTGATCCCAGGCTGGGAGTGCACAGTGTCATCAGCTCCGTCTCATCTCTGTGTTTCTGTGCTTGCTGTCTTTGTCCCCAAGTTACCGTTCCTCGAATGCTGAGCATCGTTTGCGATCACAGCTGATTGATGACAAGGCTGGGAAATTTGCGGTAACCAGCAAGTCCTTCTTGCTACAAAAAGTGCCATCCCTTCTCCCCTTCCTTATTCTTGCCTTGTACAGCAGCTCTGTGTACCTTGCAGGGAGGACAGGGAGCTGATCCAAGACTTGATCCCAAAGTGCAGGGGATGAAGCCCATGTATCTAACGGTGTGATTCAAACCCATTTTAGTTGAGAATGGTGCTGTTGCTCCAAAATGAGTGCATCATATTCCTAGCTTATCTGCACTTAAAGAGACCCAGACTGGAGCTGGCTGAACCCAGACAAGTTACTTTGCCTGTTTGTGTCCCTGTCCCTGTTTGCCTGTGTGTGTTTGTGATCGGGGAAGATTACTCTCTTTTGAGTCTTCTTCAGGCACTGCCCACCCCAATTTAAAAGACTGCAGTATGGGCCCTTGTCCCCTTTGCTGGAGAGCGTTCAAAGGTCTCTGCTGCTGTGACTGACCAGTAACCCCTGCAGTGGGAGAAGGCTCAAAGGGCAAGGTGCCCCATGAAGTTCAGGAGCAGTGTAGGATGTGGCTTGTTAAGCCTTGCTGTTGCGCAGAGAACTGACTTTATCTCAACACAAAGGGGGCCGGAGGGTGACCTTTGTTTTAGATAAGTAGCCATAGCCGTTAATTGGACATGTCTCCCTGAGACTAGCCAGACCAGCATGGGGGAAGCCTATATGTGGCTCAGCCCAACAGAGTATAAAACCTCAACAGCTAACAAAGGAATTTTGAAGAGAGCAACGGGCTTGAGCTGGCCTCAACTCGTGTATTCCTTCCTGGCGATTGGGGAGGCCCAGCTTCGTGATGGTGAGCATGTTCTAGAGACCGGTAACGGCAATCACATTGGTATTGTGATTGAACTGTATAAGTGTACACTTGAACTGTGATTTTCGGTATATTGCTGAATCACTCTGCTAAATCAAAAATCCAGTGTAACATCAAATATCTTCAAAATAAACTTTTGTGTTAAGAATTGTGCTCTCCGTATGTGTGGAATATCTAAAGGAACCTGGTCAGAGAGAACTGGACTCTTGACAGCTGCCCTTGCCTATAGGGTTTGGCTGCTGATCTTTAACCTGAAATTCCTATGGCTTAGATTCATCTCTGTTCTTCTATGTGAACCACAGCGAGCAATTCCTTCTTCTTCCTTAGTGTTTCTCTCTGTCACATGCTTCCTGACACCCTGTATAGGTTACTTGTTTTGTATGCCGTGCTGTAAACCAGTTTAAATCTGGCTCAGATACATAGTCAGAACTGCTTATCATGGGAGTGTCCCCGTACAAACTCCTGAAATCATTGTCAGTGCAGGGGAAATGTTGGTTTGGGGGCTTTTTTTTTTTTCCTAGAAAGCAGTCCTGATTACTGTTGGTTCCCATTGCTTTATTTACTGGCAGTCTAAATAGAGAGCTCAAACTGAAGTAATTTCTCTTTGCCCATGTGTCCTGGCAGTGGCATGTGAGAAAAAGCAGATGCTGGGTAGTGAGCTGCTTGCCATCCTGTATCTGCTGTGTGGATAAATCAAGGACTTCAGTGTTGAGGGCATCTGGTCTGGAACATTTTGTTAGTAGTAAATTCAAGCACACATAAAATATGGTGCTGCTTAATTGCCAGCAAGACCTGTAATGACTTGTTTTGTGATGTTTTTTTTTTTCTTCTTCCTCTGCAGCAACTATAATGGAGAGACAGAAGAGAAAACAAGAAATAGAGAAGGGACTTCAATTCATTCAGTAAGTGGATAACCTCATTGTTTTCTGTGGCTTATCTTCAAATCAAAGGCTACAGGAACTGAGTTCTTCCTATTCACTGCTCTGGAGCTGCTGCGTGAGAAAGACATATTGGTCCTGAGGATTTTTACTGTGATTCTTCAAGGTGCTTTTTGTCCTACCAGCTCTCTAAACTTGAAATGGTATCATTTTAATTTTCCTGGGTTTGGCCCTCTACTGTAGTAACAGGATAATCTTTATAGTCACCATAATGCTAACGGTACTTGGACCTTCTGCTTTATCTGTAGCCCAAGGATCTCAAAGTATTCTACTCTCAACAAGGTTATCCCACCTTTCTTAGGAAGGAAGGTAGCGTTTCTACTTTACAGGTGGGGAAAACTAGGTAAATGACTTGCCAGATGTCCTGTATGGTACCTGTAGCAGAAATAGAGGATCTGGGCTCTTTTACAGTTGCCAAGATAGTAGTTACCTCAGGTCACTCTTCTGTGAATATCTTGTGGCTTTCCGGAGCTTGGGGTGAGTACTCAAAGGGTAGCTAGGAGTCCAAGTCCCTCCTCATAAAGTACAGTAGTGTTTTTCCCTCCAATGGTTGAGTTAGCAAAAGCCTCAGACTCAGGTGTGAGTTCCGTGGCATATAGGGAAACAGCAAGATTGTCATCAGATCAATGTGTAGTTTTTTTAAGGTCTACTTTGGATCCTGCAGTTTTTATGGCTGAAGTGTGTTTATCCACAAGAGACAAAAAAGCCAAATCTTATAGGTCATGTATCTGTATCCTGTGGTGTGGCAATGATATTTTCACCCTAGTCTGAGACAAAATAACACCAGTTTCAAAGAGGTAGTTTTGAGGGGTTTTTTTGGTAACATTTATAAAAATGTATAAGCTCCTTGGAAAGAAAATGATTTAGAATTATAGGATGTTTTTCACGCTTCTGGAGTATATCTTGGGCTCTGAACCAGATTAAGTTTCATTGATTAGCTTGTGAAAGAGGGGTAGCCCAATTTTACCTGCAACCTAAGCGCTTCCTAGAAAGCCATGACATTTCTTCTAGTTAATTTTAAGGAGCAGTACTGATGAAATCTAGAAAAGTGTATTCTCTGACAAATAAGATCGTGTATGTGATGTTGCATTTTAGGGTGAGTAGCGCTGTGAAAGGTCTAAGAAAAAGACTCTCTACTAGAGTCTGATGTTTTCTCCTTGAAGGGAAAAAATAAATAAATTGTGAGCCAAACCTGGATGACCTGTGTGGTCTGATTTAGAGGATGGAGCCTTTTGCCTAAGTGTCAGTGCTCCTATGGGATGGATGTTCTCCACACGAGAACCGGCAGTTCTGTGGGTCACCGGCCTGGCAGTTTTGGCCAAAACAGATCAAATTAAAGGGCCTCTAGAACTTGCATTGTTTTCTCCTTTTCTTGACACTGTTTTTGTGGTGTAGGCCTAAAGGTGTGTAGCTGAGGTAACACAGAGATGCGTTTATCATTGTATGTCTTTTCTGTGGCCACACAGAGGATTTGAGGCAGTCTTGGAGTGACCAGTCCTGTGCCTCTCTTTAGAGCCGGACGCACTTAAAATGTATTCTCCATGGCAATCTCTCATGGCACTTTCTCAAAGAACCTTTTTTGGTGACTATCTGAGGGCACATAGCAGAGGATCCTGTATGCCCAAAAAATAGCTGAGACTAAGTAAATAAGTAAGGCTCCACTTGTCTCGAGTCCCTTTGGGACCTGACCATCTCTTGGTACCAGTGTGGCCATCACTGAACGTAGTGCTCTCTAATTGTCCTCTTTGCCCCTGCTGCTGTGCAAGTGATCAAATGTTCAGTAACTCTCAGTTAGATCAACACAGGACCAGAAAATGGTCTCTTCATCAGAGGGAAGTGTGTGTTTGCCTGGATGCCTGTTTCATGAGCATTTCCTCTTCCTTTTTTTTAGGTCCACATTACCCCTAAGCCAAGAAGATTATGAGGTAATCAAAAATTTGTTTTCTGAAGTTGGGTGCCCTTTAGTGAACAAGCTTTGTCCCATTGCACAGCCATTAGTTTACACACCAGAGGTGGAGAGCATGAAATGGTCTCTCATAATTTTTCTACAATTTAAAACATTAAGAATTCTGAGAAGAACAACTTTCAGGGAGAGGAGAAGGCAGTTAAGTGCTGAAGAAAGAAGATTTGTTTGAATGATTGTCCTCTAACAAGAGATTGATGTTATACAGGGGGATGGGAAGGCAGGAGAATTTTAGAGGGCAGAAAGCCTGCTAAAACATAGGGAAGGGAAGTTGGGGAACTGTTCTGTCTTACGGCATCTGCTTCACTCTGTTTGCACTCTCCCTATTGCCCAGGCCTTTTTGCAGAAGCTGGTACGAAACCTGTTTGCGGAGGGCAATGATTTGTTCCGAGAGAAGGATTTCAAGCTTTCGCTGGTACAGTATGTAGAAGGGCTGAATGTGGCGGATTATGCAGCCTCCGATGAGGTGACCATCCCAAAGGAACTCCTGTGCAAGCTGCATGTCAATCGAGCTGCCTGCTATTTCGCCATGGTGAGCGCTTTCCCAAGTCATCTCCAAGAACTGGGGGCATGGCATCTGGGTTGCTGTTCCATGCGATTGGAAGAGGTGGCAGGAGAGGATTAAACTGATTTTGTCCGGTCTCCAGCTGCAGAGGAGACAATGCCACAGAGAAAAATTTATCTCCCTACTCCCACACTGTGTCTTGCAAGATCAGAGGAAGGATATGAGAGAGAGGAGACCTACTGTTGTTGGTCAAGCCAAAGTACTGAGAATGCAGTTCAGTTCCATGTTTGGGAGGAATTAATACAATGTAGAGATCAGATTGGAAAGGACTAGTGCCTTCCAGAACTGACTCTTTGAGCATTGCTCTTAAAATTTGCCTGCCTCCCCATAAACATAAAGCTTTCAAGACACACGTGGAAAAGGATTCTGAAATATTCAGGCTCTAAAAGGCTGCATGCTTCCGTTTTCCTTAAGAATCCAACAGCTGTCTTTTATGGCACAACCCCAGAGCAGGTCCATCCCGTTCATAATGAGGCTGAGTACCATGAAAAAAATTAGCAAGCAGTCACATAATTAAAGACTGTCAAATGTAACATGCCCAGGGTAGAGGGGGAGGCAAGGTAAAGTTGCTCAATCTGCCTTAATCCTGGCATTCTCTAACTTTGAAGTGTTTTCAGTTTTACAAGCCTTAGCAAAATGTTCTTTAACTGTAGGTTCTGTGTGTTTGTATGTGGGTTTGTGTGTGGTGTAGTATATGTATTTTCAACTGCCTTGTATGTTCTTGTGTTTTGCTGAGAGGTAAAACACATGCATTCAGACAGGAGGAGGAGTTAAATTCTGCAGTGCCATAACTGACTCGAGGCACTCTCTTCCATGCAGGGTTTGTACGAAAAGGCGCTGGAAGACAGCGAGAAGGCTTTGGGTCTAGACAAGGAGAACATCCGAGCGCTCTTCCGGAAAGCCCGCTCCTTAAATGAACTGGGAAGACACAAAGAAGCATATGAGTGTAATAGCCGATGTTTGCTGTCCCTCCCACACGTAAGTTTTTGACATACAGCTCATCTTGACTTCTGTGACACTTCACCGCTTCCCTCCTCTGTAACATAATGTTTAGTGTGAGGCCTGAGGATAGAAGAAGAGGAAAGCTGGCTATACCTGGAGACATGCTTGTGCCCAGCAATCCTGCCTTACTGACTCAGAGAGGGTGTTTGAACTCCCATTTTGTTTCAGTCCAAGTTGCCCTGTATGGACACTGCCAGCTGGAGACCCTGGTTAGTGGCAGTAGGTTTGGCGGCCTATTAGTGAAGTGCAAAAACCTGCCTTTGACAAAATGTGAGTTAAGGCCACGGGATTTTTTTAACTAGCTGTTTTTATATGTCTAATGAGAGTTATTATCAGCATGGGACAAATGGGAACTGGAGCCCTGGAAGGAAAGCGTGTAACCTGTCCTGTTTTAGTTAACATATCTGATGCTTTATTTCATAATTGCTAAGACAAGCTGATAAAGTTTATTACTTCTTGAGGGGCATGTGAAGGGGTCTTTGATATCACGTATGACGATTATTTTTATGTTCACATGCGTGTACGTTTTTACGTTCAGAGGGTATTATTGGCATATATCAGGCCCTAGGTATTTTCCCAACAGTGCTTCAGTTGAGCCAGTATCCTCTGTTTGGGCTACATATTGAGCAGGAAACCAGACTGTGATTGGATAGATCCTACTAAGCACTAGTTGCCTTTGCTAAATTTGGTTCTGATCCATCACGTTAATGTTGTTATAAGAAAAATGCATCTGCTTCAGCAAAGGAAGTTAACTTTATTACTGGAATTACGGAAGCAGTCTTTGAAAGCAAAGCCTTGCTAACAATCAGTTACTCTTTTTGTATCCCTAGTTTCCTTGGTCTGGCAGAACAAGGTGACCAAAACAGATTAAAGGGATCATTTTTGGGAAGTTCTAAAGATCTATTTTTTAAAAAGTACCCTTTTATAACCAAAGTGGTCTAATGTATGTGTTCATGTAAAGCTGTATGCGGCTATATATCCCATGGTGCAATTGAGCCACTTTAGTATATGGTTAAGATATCAATTCAGTTGTGTTTACATATTTCCCATGTCATCATTACAGTCGTTGTGATCTACAAACTTTTTATGAAACTCCTCTTGTCAGGACAGCTCAGCCTCACAAATACTTACCAAGACATTTGCACCCCCTAGTCTAAAAAGTCCATTCTTGTAAATTAACATATACCGTTGCCTTATTACCCAATTAACACAAATCATATGCCTTTTCTGCATCGAAGGCAAGACGCTATCCATCATCTCACTCCTGTTTCCATTGTACCAGCTGCTAGACCTCTGGAGCACCTGGGTACTTCCAGCTTATGCTGCTGTAACAGCTGAGAACTTTGTGGTCAGTACAGAGCATGCATTAAAACTTCCAGTGATGAAAGATCTGCCACTCAGTTGACTCACTGTCTAGCAGAATTAATTTGTTCCTGGGTGTAGGTGTTTAGCGCTGCTAGTTTGCGGAGGTTCCCAGGATAGTGAGGTTGATATTCCTCTGTTGGCTGTTTTTGGTATGGCACAAAGGGAGGCAGCATATTTGTTTAGGATGTTGCAGGAGAACATATTGCATTCCCTTGTTGAGCATCCTCTTGTTACAATGGGAGGTAATAAGCACCAGAGGGTGGGATTTAGCTGGGAGGAAGGGAAGCTTAAAGACAGATCTGGCGAATGACAAAGAGTAAATAACTCTCCCATCCCAAACCTCAGGCCTGCTGAGGAAAAAAAAAAAAATATTGACTTGATGATGGCAAGAAATAGATTGGAGACAGTCTGGAGAAAGATGCATTCTTGATCTTGTCATGATCTTTACTGGGCATCAGAGAAGACATCTCAGAGTCAGGCTGGCATGCGGTGCTAGATAGGGTAAATCTGGTAGTTATGAGTGTGAGATCAATGAAAAGTGATGGTGTTAGAGGTCTTTCTGGGGCGTATTCCACAGGGAGTAGGAAAAGGGCAGATCTCATCAGAACACACCTAAGGGAGCGTTTGAAAAAATGGAAGAACCAGCGGAGAACAGAGCGTTGAGAACATGATCAGGGTACGATGTTAATAAAGGGAGAGTGATAGTGGTGTCAGTCAGAGCTCAGAGTTGCAAGAGAGTGAGGAGGGAGTGGTGACCATGAGATTTGACCAAGAAGGGGTCTCTGGAGAGTACAGGGGCCATTTCAGCAGATGAAGGTATACTCTGAAGGGGCGTAAAACAGCTAAAGAAGAGGAAATGGACAAACTAGTTTAGATTTTGTCTACTCAGAGTTCAGAGAAGATGGTGACCAGACCGGTGTGGAGGGGGAGCAAGTACAGTCAAAAGATGGCACTTTGAATTGAAAACACATTGATAGGGTGAGGTGGAAGAGCTAGAGGCTAGTGAGAGGTTGAAAGTGAAAGGATAAACTGCAGGGAGGAGGAGGTTGGAAAGATCAGAATTGCATTGGTAAGCAGAGAAGAGGGCAGGCTTCAAGGTTGCAGATGAGGGGGGAGATGTTGGGGCATCAAGGAGGGATATCACAATAGATTGAGCAATTTTTTTTTTCTTTTAAGAAGCTGGTGAAATACCTCAATATTTTGCAAACAGGGAGCAAGAGGAAAGCAGAAGGAAAGAGCTGCTGGTGATAAATAACTGAAGAGGATTGAGGCAGGTTGTTAGTCCGGGTAAGACTGGAGAGGAGAGGATTGAGCAGGGGAATAGAATGTGGCCCAAAACTTTCTCCAAAGCTCCAGGTGGTGCAGGAGTGGGCCTGGGCCTGGGAAATGAGGTGGAGGATGGTTAATGGGGTGCAGAGGAGAAAGCAGAAGGATATGCTTGGTTGAGCTGAGGCTGTTTAATCAGGGCTGAAATCAGTAAAAATGCCTTGTAACAAGTAAGTTGGAAACTAAGACTTGGTTTTGGCTTAAAAAAAATAAAAACAAAAAAAAGGTTGGTGAACACTGTCTGCCTATCAGAATTTATTATTAGCTGATTATTAGCTCTGTGGCTAGCAGAGAGGAAAGGCACAGGCTTTGCTAAGCTCCTTCTTCCCAGATACAGAGACTCTGTGGAAACTTAATCAGCCCCTGGCATGAGGACTGCTGGTAGCCTGTGACAGCCCTTCCAAGGCCTGTCTTGCCAAGGGGGAACATGAACCCTGCATTCAGAGAGTGGATCCTTTCTTCAAGACAGATAATTGCTTCTCGTTTTCTGCAGCCCTGAGAGTGTGGGGAAAGGTTCTGGTATAACCTCAGTCTCTCTCCAGGGCTGAATGACAAGAGTGCTCAGGTCTGCATGGACTCTCCTGGAGCTGCCTCTGGCAGTTGTCTGTCTGACGCTGGCTGCAAGTGAGGCTTCTGGCCACAACCCAGTGTGGGTAGCTGCAACCATGTGCTTCTGATTGTTGTGTTGTGTGTGCCGTGAGGCAAAACTGAAACCATCCTTCCAATGGTTTTGTCCCTAGGATGAAAGTGTCACACAGCTGGGACAGGAGCTTGCCCAGAAGCTGGGACTGAGAGTTCGAAAAGCATACAAGAGGCCTCAGGTACGGCTTTTTTTTGTTTTTCTTGTTAAGGGTATCTGTTCCTTGGTTCTTGCAGATCTACTTTTGCAAAAGCGATAAGTGTTCCTCTGCAGCTACGCACACACATACGCTAGCCTGCGACCCCGCCAGTGGGCCCCTGGGTACCTTCCTTGTGCTGACCTTCTGACTCACTTTTGTCTTGACCCATTTCTAACCCCAGCGCTGCCCTGTGTCTACTGCTGGGGTGTTTCCTGTGTCCGCAGCTAGGCGAGGCAGAGCCTGGCCGGTGCTGGAGGAGAAGCCTCCAATGCATTAGGAGCATGTGCTTCTGGGAGGAGAGAGCCATTTGGCCTGATCCCAAAGGAGGTTTTGCGTCCTAGTCCCGTCTGTTACGGGATCAGAAAGAAGGGATCCTCTGCCACATTGGAGGCGTATCTGGTTTTGTATTAGCGAGGCTGATGGGGTTGCTGTCCCATAAACCTCTGTGACAGTGGGAAGACCTCTCTTTGGTAACATGACAGGTACACATCTGGTCAGACGCCAGGAAAGGAGGCAGCAAAAAGTGAGTCATGAGTCCAATTAATTGACCGCAATGGCTAGCTGCATAACCTGGCTCTACAAGAAAGCGCTGCAGTATTCTGTTGTTTTTTAAATGTATACCCTGGGATGGAGCTAGAGGGCGTTGGGCCACAGCTAGCGCTCTCGGATATAACTGCCTTGGTCATGCAAGATCCCAGGATGCATTTTCAGGAATAAGGGATGTTCACTGGCAATCTTGGCTGAAGTTCACTGAGTGATTGACAGCCTGTGTCTGCAACTCTGCTCTGCTTGGTTGCACCCTCAACGCTGTATGCAGTGCTCTGTTCAACAGCCAGCACGTTCCACCTCCAGAGGGGCCCCTTAGCACTATGCGGTGAAGTGATTTGTGCGCATCCAATTTGCAGCGAGCTTTTGAGGTAACTGTGGCTGCCTATCCATATGTAACATCTTATGCCTGTCCGTTACAAAGCTCATGTGGGTGATTGGCCTACCCAAAAAGCCATCAACATTATAGCAGCTCTCAGCATTCTGAAATTATTCTGTCTCCAAAAAAGGGAAATTTTACTCAGAAATATTTTTACAGCTGCTCACTGTGTTGGCCATGTCGCATTTTTGCTGCTGTCGTGTTGCTCAGCTGAGATGGGCTTAAACCACCTGTGTGCTATGAAAATAAAAAATTCCAAAATGCTTTTTATTATTTGAAATGTAGTGATTGGTACTTTGATAGCAGCTTGCTGTGTCATGTTTCTCTTCTTTTGTTCCAGGGCCTTAGTGCCCTCCCCCAACAGTAACTTTTTAATGAAAAGGCAAAAATGTCTGTTCCCAGAGGTGAATTTTCACTTTATTGTGTTGAATGGTGGGTGTGTGCTTTGCACTGAGGTGGCCAGAAAAACGCGCAACCCTTTCAGGATTCTGTAAACTCTACCCTTGTGTCACAGTCATATGCCTTTTGGGATGGCTTTTATTTCCCACTAAAATGAAAAGGAATCCAATTCCCTAATATTTATGGACGGTACCTGAAAGGACACCATGCTATAACCCAGCTTTACCTAATTTTCAAGCATTCAGGGGATGACTCTGTTCTAAGACCTCTCTCTTCCTTGCAGCAGGAATTGGAAACATTCTCGTTACTCAGTAATGGCACGTCAGTCAATTTATCAAATCAGGTAGAGTTCCCATCCTGTGATTCTCACTGTTCATGATATGTGCTACTAGAATGCTCCTGGGTTTTATTTACATGCAAGTTTATTGCCATCTCTTAAGATTTAAATATGTCAATTAATGTTTCCCTCCTAAGGAATATTTTCAAGGAAATCCCGCTCTTTGAAAATACTTCTAGTGAAAATACTTCTGCTGTCAGTAATTAGATCATTGAAGGTGCTTAGTTATCTTAGTTATTGTGAGTGTTTGTTTTCTTTTGTATTTTAAATGAGTTTCAATTTTCTAGTTTTTGCATAGTCAGGGCAACATTAAGTAAAAATCAGAAAGCTCAACTGCTGAAGAACCATATAAAGTGAAATCACATGGTCTAGTTTCATTGTCCGGAACAGAGCAAGGTACATACAGTAAATAGAGTTTATGTATTCTTTGGATTGTCCTGTCACCAGGGAGATCCAGCTTGGGCAAGTCACTGCACAAATACTAAACCAAAATATAATAAATAGCTGATTTCCTTGCTTTGCAACTGGCCAAAAAAAAAAAAAAAACGAAAGCAACTTTGTTTTTTTTTTTTTACATGGGATTTGGTATTTGACGTTACTCCTTAAAGCAAACAAACAAACTATAAAATCATAAAAATGTGCATTTGGTACAAGGTAGGATAGTAGAGAATCAGTTTACATGCTGCTGTTCAGTGACCTGCCTTTGCATCTTCGTAGCAGAACAAGTCATCTTTCTTTTACAGTTGTGCCTAATTTTTGCTTTGAAAATATTTCTTTTTACAAGAAGTGAAAATACTGCAAAAACTGTAGGTTGCAAAAACTACTGCAGTAGATACATTAGCTTGAATGTAATGCTTTTCTAGTGCCTTTATAATTTTAAGCCAAAAGCATGCATACTTTCCTCTGTTGATGTTTCTGTAAAATATGGGCTTATTTTGTTCCTTGCCTGGAGCTCCAAGTCAGCAGTTGTTTTGGCGAAAACCTTTTCCTGTTTTGAGTTTTCTGTAAAGTTTGTGGTTATTAGATTGCAAAATATGTGAACTAAGAAAAGGAACGTTGTGTAAGATCAGGCTAATCGAATCTCACACTGCATGGGGCTGACTGATTGATTTGTCCTGGGACTTGGGACATGGTATTTTCTTCGACACATGACAAATTCAGTTCTATGTACAGATTTCCTCACATGCTTGGATGTCACACAGAGTTGGTATTCCTATGCAGCAACAGGGTTTAGCCGCTGCTGGAGGTAAAAGTGAATAAGCTGTTTGGATTAATGGCCTTTTAGTTTGTTGATTTTACAGCTCTTGCACTGAAAGAGGCAGTAAAGGAAGAGAAAGAGCCAGAGACATTTGGGAGTAGTAAAGGGTCATTTGTGAAATGTGAATATCTTTTAAAAGATGAATTTGGGTGATAATTTTTCTCCCTTTC